GCTCTCTCACCCTGGCCAGTGTGAAAATTATCAGGCACAGGGGAGGAAAAGCATACAACAGCACTTTGGGCCATGGGTGGGCCAGTGCGTCTGCCCCGAGGGGCGCATCCATGTCCTTTAGCGAGAAGAACATAGGACAATGGTGATTTTCGCGCGAGGCGAAAAGATCTACGGCTGCCTGTCCAATCTCATCCATAACCTCTCCACTATCTGCGGGTGAAGACGCCAATCCCCGTGGATTGGGTTTCCCCTCGATAGCAGATCCGCGCCTCTGTTCCGAATGCCCGGGACATGAGTCACGCGTAATGACAGAAAAACCTGTCTGCTCCACACCAAAAGCCTGTAAGCTAGAGCGTGGAGTTTCGACGAGCGCATGCCACCCTGACGGTTGATATAAGCCACTACCGTGGTTTTATCGCACCGTACTAGAACAGGATGTCCCTGCAGGCAAGGCAGAAAATGATTCAGAGCTTTCCAAATAGTAAAAGCTCTAAATAGTTAATGTGCGCTGAACGTAGTCTGCTCAGCCACAGACCGTTCACCGTTCTGCCTTCCTGGGTGGTTCCCCAGCCTGTTAAGGACGCATCTGTCGTCAAAACTTTTCGCATCGTACCGTCCCGAGGGGGGGTTCCCCGTGCGTAAAAGTTCTCGCTCTCCCAATGGCGCAAGGCCGCCGAGCAGGCGCGCGTCATCGTTACAGAGCGGCAGAGATCGCAAATCGGGCTGAAATGTAGTGTACAAAACCCATTTCGTGAACGTTCTCATTCTCAGGAGACCAATGGCACAACTTGGATAGATGAAGCCATGAGATCCTGCAGCCTGAGGCATGTGCGATATTGTACTCTCGCCCCTTCACTGAACTGAGACAGACAGTCCATCAGCGAGCGAACGCGCTCTTGAGAGAGACGCGCTCACATGGAGACTGAGTTCAATTCCAAGCCCAGGAAAATGACATTCTGACTGGGAGTCAGATTGTTTTCGCTCGCATTCACCCTGAACCCGAGGGATGTGATGTGCGCGAGCACCCGGCCGGTGTCCAGCGACACCTTCTCCTTTGATTTGGCTATGATGAGCCAGTAAGTCAGAATTCTCAGCCCTGATAGTCTCAGGGGCGCCACTCCCACCTCCGCACACAGACAGAAAGTTCGGGGACTCAAATTGCGCCCGAACGGAAGAACTGTGAATTCGTAACAAACGCCTTGGTAGGCGAAACGAAGATATTTCCTGTGTGGAGGGTAGATGCTTATGTGAAAGAAAGCATCTTTCAGATCGACTGATGTGAACCAGTCGTTCTGTTTTATGGCACAGGCGAGAGAGGCTTGTGTCACATTCTGAAATTGAATTTCCTCAAATGTTTGTTCAACACTCGAAGGTCCAATATAGGGCGGGGGGGGGCGCCACGCCTTTTGGAACATGAAAATACCAGGAATAAAAACCATGGTTTGTCAGATTGGGTGGCACCATCTGAATCGCTCCCTTGTTAGGAGGGAGGAAATTTCCTCTTTCAGAATGTGTGAGGCGTTTTCTTCTGTTTGAGAAGAGAGAACGCCGTTGAAATGCGGAGGTTTTATTGCAAACTGCAGCTTGTAACCCTGGGTTACAGTACGCAAAAACCCACTCGGGCGCTGAAACGGCTTGCCAAGCCGCTTTGTGACTCGCGAGCGCCCCCGCTCGGGCCGGAGCGGAGCTGTATGGGCCCAGCTGGTTCATTTGTGATGCAAAGGCGCCATCTAGTGGGAACACTAGAGGCGACATGCAGGAGTTTGGAGGGATTTCCTCTCTCTGCAGTGAGAAGTTTTCTTTGCGGAGAGAGGTCTTCTCTCCAAAACGAATTCATTTGATTCGTAGCTTGTGTGTTTTGTGTTGGGCAAACACTGGGGCCGAAGCCTTTATTGACAGAGTGAGGGAAACATAGTGTGGTGTCCACTGTGCTGAACTTTACCTCACAAGGTGCCCCCAAAAGTGGGAAAAACACATATCTCCTGAACACATGAACTGGGCAGTCTCAAGTGCAGGCAGAAAAATAATATCCGCGGAGAGAGATACTCTCTCTGTAACGGATTTATTTAATGCGTTTTTTGTTTTGTTTTTTTCTTAAGTGTTATTTAGTTATGTGTGTGTTTTGTGTTGGGGAACACAGGGGCCTTACACACACAACGTCCACTAAAAACACATCGGCTGGACAGCCGCAACTGAGCTGTGTGAGCCCAGTTGGTTGATTTATGAGGCAATGGCGACCTCTTGTGGACGGACTCAGGGCGACATGCATGGGATCAGAGAGATTTGCTCTCTATGTTGCCGCTGGCAGATATATAAATCTGCACGAATTCATTTGATTCGTTTATTAAATGTGTTGTTTAGTAATGTATGTGTTTTGTGTTGGGAAACACTGGGGCCGAAGCCTTTAATAACTGGGTGAGGGGAACCAAGTGCGTGCGGTGTGGTAACACTGCTATGTACTTTTCCTCACGACAGCCCCCTCCCCCGTAACTTGTTGTTGTGGGGGGGGAAGGGGACACACACACACAACGTCCACTAACATACGTCTGGGCAGCCACGAGAGGGGATTAACCGACCGTAGGTGGGAGACCCTGTTAGTTAACGTTACTCCCAATGGTCGAACAACAGGCAGGCCGCTTGCGTTCGGGACCGCCTTCCTAGGAAGGCATAAATTGAAAACCTCAACACGTAATCGTAACAAATCAAGGCCCGTGAGACCGTGTAAACAGTCTAGCGGGACGCTCCAGCCGTTCAGACTGGGCGGTGGTCCCAGCGTTTACCCGTCGTACATATTCCTATCCTGGTCGGTGGCGCTCTGTGGAGCTGGCCACACAATGTTGAGACGAACGGCCGCTCGCTCACAAACTTCCAGGAGGATGGACGGAGGCAAAGCCGCGTGAACGCTAGCCTAGGGAACGCTAAAAGGACCGCGTCATCCCCGTCGCCGGAACCGACCGGTTCGTCAACGAGGCTGAGGTTTTCCCGCGAAGATGTCCTCTTCAGGGAATGCGGATTGGGCTGATGTCAGCTCAAATATTTTAGAGAGGTGGCGCTCCGGGAGTCCCCCGGTAGCGCGTCATCATCACCGTGTCTCTCCTCCGAGTCAGAAAGGCCGAGCACGGCGCGCTGTGTCGTGCAACTAAAAGCCGGCTTAGTAAAAGCTACATGGGCAGCAATTACAATGACCGCAATTCCCCGGGTTCTCCAAAGCTTGAGCGTGTTAAGCCCAAGCAGACCGCGCAGAACGAGAGGGTCCTTATAGCGGCGATGAGAGCACCACAAGCGGCCGGGCAGGCTCGTCGTGATAGGCTGTTCCCCGGGGGAAGCGGCTGTTTAGACGGTCACATAGCCATGGGTGGGCCAGCGGTGAAGAACTCGGAAAAATCCGTGGCGGGCAGCCATGTAAAGGAGGAGCAGGTGAAGGACAGCGAGAGCTCGGGCGGCTCCGGATGCAAAAAACACAGCGGATAGGCTGAAGAAATGACTGTCACTCACGTCTGGCGGAGGCTGATCTGGCGATATGTCCTCCTGAAGACTCGAAAGTGAGCAGCGTAACGTTAATCCAACCGAACTGTGTCAATGCAGAGATCGCGAGAAGCGAATGTCAACTGAGGAATAGCAGCGCGCCCAGCTGTGATATGCCCGTAGGTAAGGGGGTGTGGCCTCACCTGGCATTGGCTGCGCGCTTCTGTCTGTTAGCCAGACTTGGTGCAATTGGATGCTTCTGCAGAGGTCAGGTACGGATGCCCTTCCCATAGGTGGATCTCGAAACGAGATGATGAAAGAGAACAGAACGCGGGTCAATATTGTGTTTTTTAAAATTAATTCGCTGCTATTATGCGCAGTTGAGTGAACACTACAGGTTTACTGTGCGTGTGTCATACAAGGTAGACTTCTGCTGCTTGCAAACGGACTCTTTTTAGGAGACAGAGGATTTTCAACTTGTTGCCCTGATTCCACGCGCAATGCACGAATACACTGCACGCAGGCTCACTCTCGCTCGTATCCAAGGTAAATCATCAACACTATCATCCCTTACAAGCGTTTTATTTAACGAAATACATCACAATAAGCTAAAAACGCATGCGCAGGTTACTTTACTTCCTGAACAAGTGCGCACCCGAGTTCGTGTTGCTTTCACATTCACGCGAACCGCAGCACGGTTCGGGAGCAACCGAACTCAGACCACCTCTTCCAGGTAGTCTCGGGTTCGGTACCCCAGTGCGCACCCGGGTCCCATGACAGCGTTCACATTAGCGATTTTTCATGCGAACCGTGCCCCGTTCCGAACTAAACTGCCAGTGTGAAAGCCCCCTGAGTGGGAAGGCCTGAAAATGGACTCCAAGGTTGAGTTGTTTCTGCTTTATACGAGATTAACATTGGTTTTGCCATGTTTCATATGACCAAGATAAGCCGTTTTTGTAGTAATGTCTTGGTATGGATCAACAGGTAAGTAAACACATGCTAGAGTCCAATGAGACCATGTGGGTATGCAAGGTGAGTGCTTATGTGTGTGTGTCGAGGTGATAATCAGTGGCAGGTGTGGTGATGGCTGACTGAGTGCAGGTGGGAACCAGAAGTGATGCTGGGAAATGTAGTTCTGTGGTGACTGGGCTGGTGACTGAGGATTGTGACTGGAGATTGTAACAGTACTCCCCCCTCCCGGAAGGTGAGAAAAATAAGTAGAATTATTGTCTCTGCTGTCCGGATATCCATCCTTTTATTTAATGATGAACATCCACCTGTAGGTGGATGCAAGCTTGTGCCACAGACACAAATGACAAAAAAACATGTGAGGAAACACATATGCCAGTAAAATGTATCGCTGGTTAAACTGAGCCGACCCTATATATCTCATCTAAGCACACTTTTATTATTATTTTTGTTTATGAGACGTTTCTTTGAGTTTGTGGAAGCTCTGACACAGTGAAACACCTTGTATACTTTCGAGCAAAATGATGCAGGAATTTATGCAAAAAATATACTCATGACAGTGTGTGAAAAGTCTTAGGATGGGTGAAGTTTCTTCATATGTATCTTCTGATATTTGTCCCTGTGTCTGGTACAGTTCAATCTTTCTGGGACTTCAAAGCTGAGATGTTGCTGTTGGCTTAATCACCTCCCACAGAGCCTTTTGTCTCCACCAATTCACCAGAATAATGGATAACAGCATAGTCAGTGGTCAGCGAGGAGATACCCCTGATTTCTTCCGACTCTGGTTGGATGTTTCTGAAGTCAATGGAGGCGTAATGGAGGGATTCTTGACGATTCAGTGTAGCATCTTCAGCAGATGACAGCATGAAATGATTGGCATAAACAGACTCACTCTCGCCCTCTTGTTGAATAGCCTAGAAGATGAATGCAGTATGGAATTTGGGGTGAATTGCAGTGGTGTATTCTGCCTTTAAAATAAAGATCAATTCTTGGAGTGTAATGCACAAGTTCTATCAACCACTTTTATGATTCTTCTATGGTGCTTTTTGTTATTTTAGAATTCCACAGCCCCAGTCCTTGCTCACTTGCATTATATATAACAGAGCGATACAGGAGAAGTAAAATATGGGCTTAAAACCACATGACTAAATAATTTGACAAAATTGTAGTTTTTGAGTGAACTGCTGTACATGTTTAAAATGATGGAACATTTACCAGCACTGTTGTGTGTTAAAGTGCCATATTTTAATGAATAGTATGTTTTGTTGGTACTACTCACCCTATCACTCATAATGATTCCAGTAGTACCTTCTTGTTTTGTCTGTGAGGATCTGCTGTTTTCTCTCCTGAAAAACATTTTTCCATGATTAAAAAAAGCTAGTCACAGCCTGCATTCAAATTTATGACTTGCATTGTACAAATGTACTGGGGGTCACTGTCCCACAAGAAACCCCAGCTGGTCGAGCAGGACCTCAACATGTAGTTTGTATTATCTTGGCTTTAGGTCATTTTTACTACATAACTGAGATGCCAGATTGCACTAGTTGTGTTTTAATGAAACTAGCACATAAGTCTGTAGTGTGAAAGACGTAGCGCCAATTTTAGTTATCCAGATGAACTGACTAATTTACAACATTGATGTGGATGATGCCAAATATTAGGAGATTAACCAATCAGAATCAAGTATTCCAGAGAGCATGAGACCTTACAAATATTTTGTACGCACCGTGCACAATATATAATGATACACAACATCATCATCAGGGAACCCCCAACAGCAACTCCAATTGAGATGGAGAAAAGATGTGCATCTTGTGAGCAATGAAAAAAAAAAATTATGTATGCATTTGGCAGACAATTTTATTGTGACTTATGTTAGTGTGTATTTGAGTTTACCTCTTTCTGGAGGGAAGAGATTAAGTTGAAACAGTTTTCTTGCAGTGCCATGAGTGTTGTTACCGACACACTGCAGAGTGTATGAGTGTGAGAGTGACTGATGTAGAGTGATGGAGCTCCTCAAGCCTGTGCTGTTCAATCGCTCTTCACTGATGAACGTGTTTGAAGAGTTACTGACAGGACGTCCAGACAGATGCCACTCCAGTTCAGGAGAGGGATTCCCATCACCCTCACAGAAACACACAGTTACATCAGTTCCGTTACAGCTGGAGGAGGGAGAGATTTTAGGGGCATCTGAAAAAGAAAAAGAAAAAGAGAGAATTATATTATAAATTTTTAGCATCTTATGGAGGAGAAAAGAACTGATGCCACAAACACATCCTACACTGAACATGTAGTGTGATGTTGTCCTGTGCTGTTTTGTTCTTGTCCTGTAGCTGGTAGGTTATAGTGCAGGTGAAAGTGACTCTGTGGTGACGGTGAGTAGCAGTGAAGTTCAGATCAGAGACGAGGAGCTCCTGTTGTCCGCCGCTCTCACTGAGGGGGATTCTGGGAGTGAAGCTCCATGTGAGAGTTGGTGGAGGAGAGGAGCAGAGAGTCTCAGCAGAGCAGCGCAGACTCACAGAGCTCCCCTCCAACACCTCCTCCGGATCCTGATCCTCATACAGCTTCACTGTGGGTTTGGGGGGAGACTCTGAAACAAATAATTATAAATGTATATATATATATATGTAGACATTTCATTGCTGTATACAAGTTTACAATTTGTCATGTACAATATCTTACCAATCACTTCTATCAGAACATATTCTTCAGAATAAGTCCATTTCAATCCACCTTCACCCTCAATCCTAAAGTAATAATTACCACTGTAATTTGATCTAACATCATAAAACATGGTGGTACAGTTCTTCTCATGTAATCTTCCAGTTATATTTCCCCTAATAATGGAGTTTTGGCTTGACATGGCATTGAAAACTATTTTTTCAAACTGAGTCCCATCTTTATACCAACATCCTGTAGCTCTTTTAGTGAGGTCTTTGTCAAACTTGTCCTTAATCTCAAGTGTGCACTTTATAATCACACAGGATCCACTGAGAGCTTTAATCTTCTTTGGCAGACTGATGCTGAAATCTCTACCCCGAACACCTACAACACAAATGTGAAAAATAATTTAAAAAAGAAAAAAACATGCACTTACCCTGTGTCCTAATGTCCATACTATTCATCCTAAATAGTATGTGAGATTAGAATAAGTGTCCCATAGTATGTTGAAAAGAGTATGTCAAAAGTCCCCGGATGATCTACTATTTTTCGGTAGATTTTCAAAGTGTGGATCCGTGCACACTCTAAAGGCTAATATTGCCCACAACCCATTGCGCTTTGGAGGAGGATTCAGTTCAGAACTACAAACAAGAGTAAAAAGGGTTAAAAAACTGCAAAACATGCATTTTTTTTAGCTCTTATATGAATATGTTAGCCTTAAGGTTAATAAGCTGGTGTGATCCAAAACAATAAGAAAAATAAGCATTCAAAACTTACACTCTCTCACTTCCGCTAAAATGGACGTAGGATTTTTATGACGTCACCGCGGACTTCAGCCTCTCATCACATCTTCTGTCCAATCAAATGCTCCAGAATCTAAAGCGTCCCGCCCCCTATGGATACCAGCTGGCCAAAGCGACCGTGGCTGGCTGTACCTGTACGTTTGGTAGTAAACGCATGCTCAGTATCGGCTGCTCGTGCTCATCAGTTCTTTCAGCAAAACATGTCTCAGTTCAGTGAACTGTTGGAGTTACTGGAGTAATGCTCTGGGATATTGGTTTATTTCGAGTGTGATTGCTCGATAATTGGAACAAACCCTCCAGACCCCTTTAAAAAAAAAAGAAGATTTTATTTTAAAAAAAAATCAAATACAATCGCAATACAATCTGCCAATCGCAAGGGCCTGGCCATGATTACCATGCAATGTTGAACAGGTGTGACAGCTCGAATACATCCAGGGCATTCAGTACCTCAGGGTAAATCTTGTCCACCACCAGCTTTTAAACTGACTCGGACTACTTCCAGAAAAATATGACTCCCCGATTCCTACAATCCTGCCTCTTCTTCTGAATGATTTCATTCTGCAATATGTTACCCCTCTCTATTTCAGACACAGTTATGTTTATAATACCCAAATTGAACGATGACCTTCAAATTTCTCTATAGGTCACCAGTTTCACCTGTATTTATACAGGCAGCCTGCTGTTGAACAGTACCTGTCCCAGCCAGATGGGACTGTCAGTTGGCAGCTTTCAACAAACCATCATTGATTCAAAGAGCTGATGAGGTAAGAATAAAACTGTTCAACAAATTGTGGGTGGTGATGGCGCAGTGGATAAGACACATGCCTTTGGGGTGAGAGGCCTGGGTTCGAATCCACTGTGAGACACCAATGTGTCCCTGAGCAAGACACTTAACCCCTAGTTGCTCCAGAGGCGTGCGACCTCTGACATATATAGCAATTGTAAGTCGCTTTGGATAAAAGCATCAGCTAAATGAATAAATGTAAATTACATCGATTATAGCAGGGGTTCACTTGAGTTCAGCTCCAACCCTAATCAAACACTCCTGAACAAGATAATCAAGGTGTTCAAGATTACTGGAAAGTCACAAGGTGAGTTCGATCAGAGCTAAACCTTGCAGGAAAGTGGACCTCAAGGGCCAGACTTGAGTGTAACAGTTTTATACCAAGCAACCTTTATATAATCATTTTTCTTCTTCTGTGTACCAGATAAGAATCATACAGGCATCCCTGTGGCAACTTTATTGGAGACAACAAATTAAAACTTAAACTAATTAAAAAAATAATGCTTATTACTCCACAATCTTATTACTTTTACAATAAGGCCTTATGACCAGTAAAGAAACAATGATTTTGATTACTCAAGGGAAAGAAAAGGTAGACAAACCTTTCAACAGAAAACTGAGAAGAAGAATTTTCTCTGCTGTCCAGATATCCATCCTTTTGTGAAATCCAATGAAAGCAAGAAAAACACACACTCATGCATCTACAAATTTTGTCAAAATTTGACTTAGTAGTAGTATAGAAACCGTGCTGTAAGAACAGAACAGGGCCAACATACTGACTGGCTTCGTAACTTCCCTTTTCATTATATCAGTCTAGTTCCTGTAACATCATGAAGATACCTTTTTTTTCCACAGGAAAAAAATGGTAACATTTTAAAACGTAACATTCCTATTAAATTGGACATTTTATTATGTAGAAAGTTTACCTAATAGGTTTTACTTTGTGTATTTCAAAGTGCACTGTTGAATTCAGGAGGGATGGTAAGAGGGATCATTTTTTTATTATCATTACTATTATTTCATAATGAAAAGAGATTTCATAATTTTCTGTTTCAAAGAAGGAAGAACCAAACACGGTAAATGGTGACAGAATTTACATTTTTGGGTGCATTTAATGTTACGTTTACAATGCAAAACATAGGTGTTGTGTCACATGCAGAAAAGTCTTGCACCACTTTAAGCAACTCTGTGGCCTGCAGTGCTTCTCCATTTTAGGCAAACTATTTCCTGAGAGACATTTCTACAAGTTACATCTTTAATAATAAATAAAAAAACATGGAACAATGTCACAGGATTTTTTTTAATAAATACTGAAAAGAGCAGTTGATTAAAAAAAGAGAATCTTTGAAAAGATAGTGCTACAGGGATGACGTAAAAACCCGGAAAACGTACTCAGTTACTAACGTAACCTCGGTTCTCTCTAGAAGAGGGAACGAGTACTGCGTAATTACTTACGCTATGGGGAAAACCTCTTTTCCACGAGATATTGAAGCCAAAAATTATCCTTAATTTTGAATCAATGCAAAACGCATTGCAGCAGTACACAGACCTAGGCAAGACGGCTCGCGCAGCCTATCGAGAGAGGCCCTATCCCATGCAAAACGCCGTGCGCGCTGAGATCAACACCAAAGACCCAAGGGCGCGTGCCCGGGGTACATATAGTGCACAATCATCAGAGAACTCACAGAGAGTTAGGGAAGAGAGGCCAAGCATCATTCCCAAATAAATGGCGTCCAGAGGAGGCCAGTCACAGACAGTTTCTCACGCAGTCAGGGGAAAAATTTTTCCATCATGAACTGGTTAACATAATGGGTCTTTAGTCGCGCACAAGTTACTGCGAGTAAGTTGTGCCTAAGCATCTGACAGTATTCTGAGCCGAACAACGGTGCAGACATTACCGTTTCAGACCGAGAGTAATCTAGCCTGTAAGGCGGGAACTTCTAGGTTGTAAAACCTGATAAAAGTAGACGGGGAGGCCCAGCCTGCCGCCATACAGATATCTTGTAACGAAATTCCGCTAGACCAAGCCCACGACGAGGCCACGCCCCTCGTGGAGTGCGCTCTGACACCCAAAGGGCACTGCAGGCCCGTGGAAGTGTAAGCCAGCGCTATGGCATCGACTATCCATCTGGATATAGTCTGTTTCGAAGCGGCTAGCCCCTTAAGGCGCCCGCTGAACGAAACGAACAGTTGCTCTCTCTGTCTGAAAACAGACGTGCGCAACACATACGCTTTTAATGCCCTGACTGGGCAAAGGAAGTTTATGCCGTTCTCCTCAGTATTGCCCGGTAAAGCGCACAGGGAAATAACCTGGGCTCTAAACGGCGTGTTGAGGGATTTAGGCACGTAACCGTGTCTTGGTTTGAGTATGACTTTCGAGTCATTAGGCCCAAACTCCATACACGTCGCGCTCACCGAGAGCGCTTGCAAGTCCCCTATGCGTTTCACTGAGGCCAGAGCCAAGAGAAACGCTGTCTTGAAGGACAGGTGTTTCATGTCCGACAAGTTTATAGGTTCAAACAGGGCACCTTTCATGGCTTCTAGAACCGTGGAAAGGTCCCACACGGGAGGCCTAGGAGGTCTTAGTCTCCTGGCTCCTTTAAGGAAACGGATAATCAAATCGTTCTTTCCCAGTGACTGGCCAGACGCTGGTTTCACAAACGCTGTTATGGCCGCCACATAAACTTTGAGCGTGGATGGGGTCCTGCCCTTATCCAGTAGCTCTTGAAGGAAGGAGAGAACTTCCGTAACCTGGCAGTCTGGTGGTGAAACCCCTCGAGCTTCACACCAGCCAGAGAACACAGACCATTTCGAGGAGTAGAGCCGTCTCGTAGACTGAGCTCTCGCCTGCGTGATCGTGTTTAACACTCCCTCTGGGAGGTTAGTGAGTACCCGTTGATGGCCCACACATGTAGTGACCATAGATCCGGGCAAGGGTGCCAAACCGAGCCCTTGGCCTGCGAAAGGAGATCCTTCCTTATCGGTATGGGCCACGGGGCAGTGCTTGTCATCTGCATCAGAACTGGAAACCAAGCTTGGTTTTTCCAGAGCGGAGCAACTAGTAGCACCGAGCACCCACTTTCCCTGATTCGTTCTAGCACTTGTGGTAGAAGCGAGACGGGGGAAAGGGCATAGAGCGGGCAGCATTTTCTTGAGACGCGAACAGGTCTATCTGCGCTCTGCCGAACATCCTCCAGTTGGACCGTCTGCGGGTGCAGAGACCATTCTCCTGCCGGGACATTGTTTCTGGACAGTCTGTCCGGTCCTAGATTTAGGCGACCAGGCACATGCGCCGCTCTCAGCGAGCGAAAGTTGTGCCGAGCCCAAACCAGGAGGCGTTCCGCCAGCCTGTAAAGGTTCCTGGACCTGAGACCACCCTGGCGATTTATATAGGCTACCACTGACATGTTGTCCGAGCGGACTAAGACGTGGTGACCTCTTATCTGGGGACAGAAACGCCTCAGCGCGTTGTCTACCGCCAACATTTCCAGGCAGTTTATGTGCAGGAGCTTCTCTCGTTCTGACCACTGGCCAAAGAATGGTCTGCCCTCGAGCAGCGCTCCCCATCCCGAGGTGGACGCGTCCGTGGACACCACTTTCACACTCGGGAAGGTCCCCAGGCGTTCGTATTCCAAGGCGCCAGAGCTGTAACGCATTTCAGGTCGACCCTGAGACGAAACAGACCGGAGGTCCATGCGCGGTACTCGCGCTTTAAGCCAGAACTGCAGTGGGCGCATACGAAGTAGACCCAGCTGGAGAACTGGTGAAGCTGAGGACATGAGACCCAGCATTTTCTGAAATCTTCTTAACGGGACCATAGTGCCGTGGCGTAAGGATTTCACTGAGCGCTGAATGTTCATCCTGCGCTCTGGCGACAGGCGCGCCGTCATAGACAGCGAGTCCAGGGAAGAAAATTTATATCGCGAACGGGCGGGGGCGCCGTGAGCGCTGAGCGAGCAGGTACGAGTAGTGAGTTGTCGTCGAAAAAGATGGATAAAACAAAATGCTGTGGGGCTATAAATAGAAAAAGAAAGAGGGAAAAGGAGATGGCATGTCATTTGATGCGACAGCAGCTAAATAAGTGCATGCTGAAAGCCAACAGGTAGGATTTAAAGTGTGACATCCAGGCATGTAGGCTATCTATATCTCTGTGGCCATCGGGACTACCGGGAGATTCCCGGTGGGCCGACGTGCTTTTTCGGCCGATACATCTCATACTTTTTTTTCTTTTTCTTAACGGCCCATAAAACTCGTACATCGGCGGCCCATTCATTTTGTATTTATTTTTTTGCTTAATTGGCGGCGCTGGGTTAGTGCCGGTGTAATGCATTGGTAAAAAAAAGTCAGCGTTATTTTTTTTTCTGACACACCGGCCCATGAAACATGTCATCATGTGCTTTTATCTTTCAAGTATAGAAAATAGTACAAAACTAATTATGAAAGTTTCCTTTATTTTTCAGTGCATTTGTTTTACAATATATGGCTATTACTATCATGGGATTAATATTATAACTATTATTATGTAGTAGTGTAATGTAGACAGACACTAACTAAAAGAGGTTTGAATTTTTCTTTGTTTAATTTTGCACCCTGAATATGCTTGGAGCTTTTAATTTTGAACTCTCAAAGTGCACCAGATTGCTGAATTTAACATTAAAGAACACAAAATTTTCTTACGGCGGGGGGGGGGGGGCTCCATGCCCCCGAACACCCCTAGAGATACAAAGGTCCACCTACCACAGTTTTACCTAAAATCCTGTGAGAAACACTGGTATTGCTGTTCCAATGGAGCTTATAGTTATTTTAGGGGGGTTCATCACAGTAGAGTAGCTATAGTTTAATTGTATTAATAAATGACAATTTTGCACTTATTTTATCTGTTAGCTCTCACTCGTTCCTACTCACTTATTACATGACACACTTGTTTATTTATCTTTCTTTTTTATATTTCTTTTCAAATTCTTTTTGAATTTTTTCTTTCAAATTGTTGCTGCATACCCCTCTGACACTGGGTAGTTGCGCCCCTGTCTGAAGGTGATTGAGCTAGAATCAGCCAATCGTCCAAATAGTTCATTATTCGCATACCCTGGTCTTTCAGGGGTGCGAGCGCCGCGTCCATGCACATCGTAAAGGTACGGGGCGCTAAAGACAGGCCGAACGGAAGGACTGTGTACTGATAAGCCTGGCCCTCGAAGGCGAATCTCAAAAATCGCCTGTGACGTGACGCTATCTGTATTTGAAAATACGCGTCTTTCAGATCTATTGACATAAACCAGTCCCCTTGGCAAACTTGCGCGAGGATTTTCTTGGTTGTAAGCATTCTGAACTGTCGCCTCACAAGCATTTTATTCAGCTGTCTTAGATCTAGAATGGGTCTAAGGCCCCCGTCTTTCTTTGGTACCAGGAAATATCTGCTGTATGTGCCCCCTTCGCTCTGAGCTTGAGAAAAAGGCTTTATGGCCCCTTTGCTCATCAGTTTCGCTATTTCGGCTCGAAGTAGATGAGCTACCTCGCTCTTCACCGTGGATTCGACGCGCGTCGTGCAACGGCGCGGGCGTCGAGCGAACTGTAGCGAATAGCCCCGTTTTATTATGTTCAACACCCATTCTGATACCCCGGGGAGTTTCGCCCATGCATCTGCACGAATGGCTAGGGGTAGAATGAAATCTGGGCTTTGGTCACGACATAGTGGCGACTGATGAGCCATGGTGTGCGAGGGGGTGGGGGGTGCGCTGAGTGCAGCGCACAGCGTGACC